TTTTTTATAATTAACATCTTAGTATAAATTTCAGATTGAGCTCCCACTGAAAGAAATCAGGTTTTGTTGTATTACTAGAGCTCACCAACAGTTGTACCAGAACTGAGGACACAGGTTGTTTTGTGCCAAAATATTGGAAAGATTTTTATTAAAAGACTTTAAATTGCACTTCTATTTTTTGCCATGATCCAGTGGCATTGGGAATTGTATTCTTAAGTAGTTCCAGACAGAAGAAGTCAGGCTGAATCACATGTTCAGGTGAGCATAAAGCTGCAACTGCCACTGGGATAAATGCCTGCTTTTAGTCTCCTTGGAGCCCAAAATAATTTGGTACAGCATAAACTTCCTGTGCTCTTATTTCACTTAGTATTTCTCCTGTAGTTCTCRTTTTGCTGGGATTTTGAATATTGAAGGTACGTTGTGTGTGTTGGTGTCACAAATCAACATAGAGGAGGGAATAATCTGTGTCCCTGTACGTGGAACAAACTCTGGTCTTGAATCCCAGGACACTTATGTACAAATTGAAGTGGTGAAGCTTTCCTGTAGTCCGGCCAAGGATTGGGGAKATGGTCTCTGTGGAACTGAGGACCATTTTCTGTGGACTGCAAGCCTTACAGTCTGAGTCAGTTTAGTTTGGGGGACCTTACCTTGCTTATCATGAGTATATGGTACCATATACAAACACATCTCTACATGTGTTTTATGAAAATATTTATTCTAAGTACACCACTCTACAACACTGTCTTCAGAGGAGAGAGAATATTTGAATACTAGATATTAGTAATATTATTTAATATTCTATGAGAAGGAACCCAGGACACTACAAAGCTGAACTCAAAAGTAGTATAGTCCAGAAGCAAGTCTACAGGTATTAAATTCCCTTTTCTCCCTGCCTTGAAGAAAAATGTCTCTTTACAACTCCTTTGCTTTTACTTTATTGCAGTCAGAGGTCAGTTGTTCCAAGACTACTTGCTATGTATGACCTTGARGAAATTTTGCAGAAGTGTCTTGCCAGAGACACAGGCATTAGGAGGAGACACAAAAAACATATCACACACACAGCCTTCTGTTAGGGGCCTTCCTAACTCGGCTTCTTTTCGCTTGTAGTAATAGGCTGTTTGTTCCTGTCTTTTCCCTCTGCTTGTTGTCTCCTTCTCCATGATTTGTCAATCTTTGCTTCCTTCAGCACCTTCCTTTTTATGTTCCTATCTTCTGCCCTTGACTGTACCCCTACCATTGCAAGTATCACAGAATTTCACAACAGCTGTCATTATGTTGACCCCTCTAACTGTTTATTATAGCTTTTCTCTTTCCACTGCATGTGTCATGTCTATTTGCACTGTGAGYACTTCAGGATAAGGAGTATCTTCTCAGCTTTATAGAGAGTCTAACACAGTGGATCCCAGTTGCAGGTCACCATAATGACTAGTTAGGATGGTAAATGTTCAATTGTTAGTTCCTCCAACAATATTTCCTTGATTGGAAAGAGCATGAAATTTAAAAAATAGCTAGTTTCCATGTTATTTTGATTTATTATAAAGCTGTCTTCTGTTGGTTTTTAAGTTTCAAATTAAAATTGGTGGCACAGCAGGTGTTGTAAATAATTTTGTACATTGCCTAGGGCTGTCTACATCATAAACTATTGCTGAATTATCAAACAATGAAAATAGACAACTCAAATGAGAAAGTGTTTAGAGATAAGTGAAATGTGAATTCTCCTGCCAATTGTTTTTGGTTTTGTTTTTCTTCTTCCTTTTCTGTTCCATAGCACGAATTATCAAAACAAAACAGTGGTGTGAAATGCTTCCATGTTTAGAAGGAGAAGGCTGTGATTTGCTAATCAATAAATCAGGCTGGACCTGTACACAACCAGGAGGACGGATAAAGACAACCACGGTAGGTCACTTCTCTGTTCTTTACTCCTTCAATTGCTCATTCACTTTAGTTTATTGGAAAACAAAGAGTGAGATTTTTAATTGTTTTTCAGCACTTTTGTGTAGTTTATTGCCTCATAATTAATTGTGTGCCCAATTGTGCATGCTGAAATACACAGCAATGTTATCACAAAGTACAACATTAGAAAAGATAAAAAAGGAAAATGTGTAATTCCCATGGTTACTAAGAGTGGATATTATATAAAGGTTTTCTTAAAAGACAGCAGTGGCCTGACTAGCRTTTGTACCCAGCCTAGAGACAGTATCTTACTATTTCAACATACACAAATTTTCTTATGCTGCGGAAGTGTAGGGTGTAAAACTCAATGTGTGGCYTAACAGGGAGTAAAGAAAGCTTTCACTGGGAGTTCCAAAGAAAATACTTTTGCTATTCCAGATATACTAGGAAAAAARGTTGCACAGATAGATCTTCCAGTTTTCAGTGAGACAAAAATACAGCAGAAGATCCCTTCTTCCAGCTTGCTTTTGGTCTTCGTTTGTTGATAAATCCCTCAGTTCTCTGTTTAGGTGTCTTGGGGCGTGTGCTTGTAGTAAACCTAAAGTATATACCATTGTAATAGTTTATAGGGCCTGTAATGTATCAAACAGATTTCTAGAAAATGTTCTCAAATGCCAGCAATTCTTTGACTTGAAAAATGGAAAAAATCTGAAGAGATATAATAGAGCAATTTTCTGATAGCTTGCTAGGCCTCTTGAAATTATTTCTCCTCCTTATAAATCTTTTTTTAGATTTACAGGGAGCTTGAGTGTAATTTAAATAAGTGTAATTTCAAGAATATTTAGTCTTAAAAGTACTTATCAGTGAGGACTAAATTAATGCCCATCATCCCCTGTACAATTTCTCCGAGCAGGAGACAGACACCAGTATAAAACCTTTTATTGTTTTAGAATGCCTGTATTTAGAAAATTAACATGATTTTCACTTTTTAAAAAGCAGGGAGATTTGATAATGCTTTATGATAAACCTAAAAAACAAATTTTATGAATTGTAATCAGAGTTTAGATGCTTCTATATTTACCAGATATAATATTCATTATGGACAGGGCTAAAAAACTTAACTCGTCTCTGAGGTCTTACTTAAATATAGTTTGCCTTTAGATCTTTTGCATTCAAGTTATGTAAATCTTTTGCATTCAAGTTATGTAAGAGTGACATAAAAAAACAAGGGAASGAAGAAAAGTTTTTTAAACATTAATGCCAACTTTCAAGGGCAAGGAGATCTAATACCGCAACTTTGTCATACTTGAAATATAGTCTTAAATCYTGTTAATTCAGGGGTATTTTCTGTATCTGAGGTAAACGGAAAACCCATGTACTGTGACACATTGCCAGCTGTCATTTTTGTTCTTTATTTGATGTTTTATGCTAATGGCATGACTGAGTAATGCAAAGTAAGCAGAGGATCTGTCCTTCAGTTTCTGTCTTTAATGAAGTGATTCAGATATCCTTTCAGATTAAACACCAGAAGCCTGATTCTGAACTCTTACTTGTCTCTATAGCTCTTTAATGCTATTGACATGAATGGAATGACTCATGAATTTGATTAATGTAAATGAAATCATAATCATGCCCCATCAGTAAAATTAAGACCATGACAAGTATAATATTKTAAAACAGACTCTCCCCACACAGATACATCATTGTCATTGGTAAGGAAAGATTTTGCCAGAGAGACAACTGTRGAAGAGCTCTGAGCATAAGCCCTCATCTAACATCGAGCAGTCTTCAACAGTTGGTATCACACATGCAGRCACACAACAAACACACAGTACTTTCCAGTCAAGCCAGACTAGCAACTCAGAATGCTTACAGAAGCTCTGAATGAAGAAGAGGGAGACAGAAAAAAGACAAGAAGAAAAATAAATGCAAAAACCCACAAGAAACGCTAGCCTACAATACAACATTAAAAACTTATTAAGAACTTAAAAAAAAAAAAGTTCTTTAGCTACTTGGTTGAAGGGTAAGGTTTGGACCATGGTAGTAGATTTTGAAACTATGTGTTAGGATTCTTAGTGAAATGCAGGACTGTGATTAAAAGAAAAAAAAATCCAGCAAAAACACTAAGAGACATTATGTACTGTAGCAATATTCTCAGATTGACAGCTGCTACTAATGCAGTTGAGTAATTTCTATTTCTGCTCCTAGTCAACATACATGAGTTGCCATCATGCCCATCATGGTATTTAAGAGTACTAGGAAGGATTCCTGGCAGGGAAGGATCAGAAAAAATGGATACCAGGTCATATGGGGAAAAAATGTCCAGACATCCTGAATCAGTTACTGTACACTGTTCTTAAGTAGAATTAATTCTTGACCACATCTCCAGTGACAACCAGACTTTTTAATAGTCCTTCATTTTTTAACTATCAATTTTGTTAAAATGCATTTGTTAATCTAGTATCAGCAGGCCTTTCCTGCTGATATAGCTTGCCTCTTAAAGATATTTTTGGCAGTAGTTCTTGCATTATCCTAGTGATAGTGGATCATATAGCACAGATATCACTGTTTGGTAAATGCTGACAACAGTTTGTCACCCATACTAAAGCCAGAGCAGTGTTGAACTCTGATGGACTGAGACCAGCTGTTGTGATAATACCAGCTTTACACATTGATTCCAGGAGGTTGTGTGGAAGTGCAACTTTTTAAGTGCTGGGTTTGGAAGCAGTATGTGGAAAGTTAGGACTTGTAGAAATCTTATAGATGACATGAGTTCCCTTTTACGTGAGAAAATACACTAGGACTCATAGTTAAATATAATTCTAAAGAAAGGGAGAAATAGTGTTTGTTTTCTGTAGATAAGTTTAACATTTATTATTTTTTCTTTGAACATTCCAAGCAAACAGCAAGTGAAAATATCCATTGCTGCAAAACAAAAGTGCAATTTCTGTAAGATGTTTGGAAGGGGCTGCTGCTTTTTACTTTATGCTTTGTGTCAAAATTGTTTACACTGTCTATGCAGAGCCAGATTTTTCAACTGGCTGGCACTTTCTGTGATCACCTCTGGAAATAATGCAACCAAATCAAAATTCTCTCCTCACATGGGAGCAGTGTTTTATATCCATTTTGTGCTCACKTTGCACAGCTATAAATGACTACACAAGGTGCAAGGCAAAGGAAAATCAGACTCAAAGTATACTCTAAATTGATCTGGATGTCACTTCTGCCCTGTTGTTCTTTCTACAAGGTGTGAATGAACGCAAGATTTTTCATCTGCTAAGAGGCTTTTAGAATTGAAGACTGACTGGGCTAACTGCCAATCTATGTATTAAGAGGCTGACTGTCAATACAAGAAACAATACAGCAACTTGTAAAAGAAGATAGCGAGAGAATACTACCCAATTGTTAGCAATTTTAACGTACTAAGTACTTTCATATAGCAAATGTCCTTACAGTCACTTCAAAATCTCCTGCCTTAAAAATTCTTCCCCTTTTGCTATTCTTACTCCATTTTCAATTACTTACTAAAAATTAAGCTATATGATTTTAAAAAATAGTTGGTAGTTTTAATGGTGACAGAATATATGCCTTTTCTTTTTAAAGAAGTTGCTGAAGGGCCTTTCCATTTTATATTTCAAGTGTAAAACTTGCTAGTGTATAGATGAGAAGATATGCAATGTATTGTTTTTACAGGGGAGATTAATTTTTAGCACCCAAGTGTATATATGTTGTCAATGATCCATCACTACCTAATTGTTACTTAATTAATTCCTTCTTCTACATAATGTGATTTCAATGCATGGAACTTAACAGAACATTCACGCGCCAGTTCCTCGGTAGCTAACCTTTTAAACCTTTGTGATTTTACTGCTAAATTAGCTGAAGTGGGAAATTAAGGAATATGGAGAAGCTAAGAGAGAGCTCACAGTGGATAAAAGGTGTAATTACTCTGACATGGAGCTCAGTGCTTAGCTAGTAAAATTTACTAAGGATCTAGCTTCACCAAGGGACCTGACTTTCTTAATAGAGTTTACTTACACACAGAGCAACTTATCATTCCTCACCATTAATATAAATGACATGCTGGCTGGGTTGGAAAGGCAATTTGTTCCTTACGCTGAAAAATACAATGCGTATTTGTATTGGCTGCAATTAAATTGGGAATTTTTCTGCAGAGCTTCATTTATCACACATATATGTACGATAAAGGTAAATCAGATAAAATATACTGGTTTGATTTTCAGCATTGATTTATGAGCAATTCTAGCTCATATCGTTACATTCTGATAAAAAGAAAAAATATATATGCATATTTATACATATATATATATATATATATATATATATGTTACATATTTGTAACATACCTGAGAATTTACTTTTTTTAGACTGAAGATCAGCTGGAAATATCCCGAGGCCATGGTCTAGTGGTCTGGGCTTGGGAGCTGGGAGGCAGAAATTCCTGAGCTCTAATCCCGGCTCTGACAGTGACTCCCTCTGTGGCCTTGGGTAAATCACTGAACCTCACTGCCTCAGTTTCCCCGGCACTAAATATAAGATTAGCAATTCTTAACTGCACACTTAAATGAACTTGGCAGTCCTGACTTAACATTTTAAGAGCTTTAGAAATTCRGTGTAATTTAGAAATAAAAATACTTCTATTTATAAATGTCCTTATTGGTATTATTCAAGTTGTTGTTAGGTATTCAGCTAACACTGGTATTCCTGTATTCCAGCAGTCTAGCTCTGAGTGTTTCTAAGTGTGCATTTCACATCAGCTCAGCTGATTTCATTTGGTTAAGCTGGTTTTGGAAGTATTTTGACATCCTGCTAGTTCCAGTTTTGTGTCATTCCAGGGCACAATACCTACCAAAAGAAGCTTTCAGGCAGCGCCAGATTAGGGTAGTGGAATGTTACATGCATGCCATGCCAAATTAAGTTTCACCCTTCYCCTCTGTCAGAAGTGGTCAACTTATGAAACAGATCCAATGATACCAATTCTT